AAAAAATAACTTTTTAAATGAACGATAGCTTCATTTATTTATTTAATAATAGTAAAATAATTTCGAAATTGAAATTTTAATTAATGTTTCGTTTAATAATAATTTCTGTGACATTTTTGTAAATTAAAAAAAATTAAGTATAAAACATGCATTTTTTCTGGGGTTCAGGGCTATTCTACGAATTCGTAAATATGCCTATTGTTATATTTTCATCGAGCTACCCCAGTTTAAAAAAAAAGTTTTTACGATGAATAGAAGACGAGATATTGCAAAATTTACAGCGCGCATCAATTTGAACTTATATAAAATATTATAAAAATTGCGCTACGATATAAAAAAAATCTTATCTTGACTTCTGTTGGTCGTAGCGAGTGCTTTTTTTTAATTTGTATTTTTTGCCAGCTATCCATTGTATCTATTTTCGGTGAGGTAGCATAAATAGCAACAATTTTATTCAAATTGTTTATAAGCGAAGAACGCACGTTTTTTTAATGCACAATTTGAGAATGTTGGTGTCAAAAAAACGGTGATATTTTTTAATAGGTCGCTTAATTACGTCTTTAAGATTACAATGACGCTTTCAGAATCATGTTTGGTTGAAAATTAACGCCTGTACAGAGGCTTAAAGTTCATAACTTTTGGAGCCTCCGTTATAAACAAATAGAATTGTGCGAAAACTATTGCACCTACAGCGCCCACTTTTGGCACACTTTTAAAGTATGACAAAACCCTCAACTTGTCATAGGTTTTATAAAATTTTAACAATAAATGCGATAGTTATAAACAAATTAAAAAATGGGCACTTTTCTTGTTTTTTTGCAATAACTTTTTTGTTTATTAACCGATTTTAATTTAACAAGTCTCATTTTGTAGATAATTTTACTCCCTACAAGCTGTCTGGGAGTCACTTTTCGCTAAAATTGATGGTTTTCCCTGCAAAGTGAAAAAACTGTTTTCCTCACGTATTTGTTTAAATAGAAAAGTTAGCTAATAAAAGTTTTTGACTGACGAGACGAGAGATGTCTTGTATTATGTTCCTTTACACTATTTTACAATAATCCCGCGGATAGGACTTTTTTCGAGTAAAAATCTTATTTGCTTGGCCTAAAAAGCTTAGCAATTTTTTCTTACATTTATTTTTCATATTAGTGTTAAATATCATACATATACTAAGCTTAGTAAAAAATATTTTGTTAGCACGATTTCACTATCTTAAGTCGATGTTCTACTCACTTATTAGTGTCCAAAAAGCCAATTATTTGAAGCAAAAAAAAATATTTGATGGTATTATCATAAAACTCGTTATAGCCTAACCTTTCTGGAGACTATTTAATGCAGACACTTTGCTAGCGTTAATCAATTTCTACTTACGACCGAAAAATATGCCCCTCAGTGCAAACAAACAATTCTATCGTTGACCACAAAGATAACTTCGATTGTATTGACCAATCCGCCCCCTCTTTCTTTTTCCTAGTTCCCAATCGAAAGGGATCGACACCACGACAACCGCGATATATTCACTTTTTTATTCGATCGATTAACCGCCCCCCTCTCAATCAAAGCGGTACGATCGGGGTCAATTATCTCTTCTGGGCGATAAAATCGCGGCGGCTGTGACTCACCGCCCATACGTGACCTTGTGGTACTCTCGAGTGTCAAGGGCGCCTCCTTCGATGACCTGATGGGATGCGTTTGACGAACAGCAAGAAGCCCCAGCCAGGTAGGAAAGGATACGAAACATTGTTTCGTGAATATTAAAATTCTTTTTCTTATATGTATTTATTTATTGAAATAAGTGAAAATAAATTGAAATGTGGTTGCAATAATAAAAAAATATATGTACAACAAAAAATATATCATCTTGTATGTCCTTTTATTTTGTCGTAAAGGTATATTAAGCTAAATCAAACAAATTCCAACATTTTTTGTAAAAAATCTTTGAGGACTGAGTTTTATGACATTACCAGTAAATATATATTTATTTTACTTCAAATAAGTGACTTTTTAAACACTAATAAGTACTTTTTTTTGCAATAACTATGTGCACTTTGGTAGTTTCAAGATTGAAATATACTGACGTTTGACGAAGTCCGACACCAGCAAATGCAAATTGTCACTGAGCTGAATATTTTGTATCTTATTCTTTGAAATAATTTACCTTATAGTGGTCTAGGGTGTCCAGCGCTCTGGCGTGGCCTTCTTCGTTGTGTACGCACAGGGCCGACAGCAGCTCGAAGACCTGCTTTTTCACCGCTACGTTGGTGGTGTCCAAAGCGGCTGCCAGCTTCCTGATGTACTCCGGGTTCTCCACGATGAAGTCCAGGCCGATCCTTGAGGAGTCCATTGCAGAATAGAGGAGGAATCCTCAGTTCTCACCTGAAAAAGAAAAATTATTAAGAATTTTTATAATTATCTGAATATCAAAGAGGCCGTCCCAAAGAAATTTAAAATTCTACGTCGATGATTTCGTCAATCTACGTCAAACATCTTCAGGGATAATTGAAAAAAATGAGGTATTTTTCAAAAACTTTAACGCCCTCTATCTTGGAAACCCGTAACTTTAGGGCCCTGGCTTATTAAAGCGTTTGGACCTAAAATGACCCAAGAAATTAGCCACTTAATTTATGATATAGACTTAGGATACACCCTGTATATTTAAAATTATATTTCGAATAAAAAATCCTACGTTTTATGTGAAACGAATAACTTTGGACAATTTAAATTTAAAGAAGTAATCCAAAAATAGCTCGTCTTTCGCATAAAACCTTTTTTTTTAAATAATATTAATTAAACCAACTTATAAAATTTCTAAAATTCTCAGTGATATTCTAATGTATTACGACAGTGTCTCCCAATACCTTTGTCACTGGTTTACAAATTTGTTTAAGAATTCTGCGAATTTTTGCCTTTAATTAATTATATAATCAACCACTCATCAATCTAAGTCTAACCTCTCCACAGGTATTTGAATAAATGCCATATTTTTTTAAATTTGAATACGCCGTATTTTTTTGGTTCATTAAGGTTTTTTGGTCTAACAATTATTTAAAGAACCTCATTAAGTTAATATAATTAAAAAAGACTTGGTATGAATATTTTAATTCAAATGGATAATACATATACGAGTATAATACATATAAATAACTTCAATTAAGACCGGCAAAGCTATGAGCTACCTTTTAAATGTTAATGACTCCGAAAAAAAAAAGATATATAGTTATGGTTGATCCTCAGTAACATTAATTAAAAACTAGTTTGGTGAAACCATTAAGACGAACTTTTTTCACATTTGTTGTGACAACTTTAAAATTATTTGTGACCAAAAAATCACTCACATTGTCAAATGCTTTTGCCAATGACATTTTTAAAAATAAATGTATTTTTTTACACTTGACTACGTAGGCAGTCTGAAGTAGGCCAGTAATTTTACAAATTCTCATGTAAATTCGCGTCACAAATCTGTGTTAACCTCTCATTCTGTGACATAAACCAACAATACATTGCCGATTTTATCGCACATAATTTATGATCAAAGGATTTAAATTTGCCAGTAATAGAGTAATGCAAACTGGATTTCTAAATGTATTAGTACTTCTTTCTGAAATGTAACTGTGATTCATGCTTATTTGTTGAACAAACGTTGACTCGTATGTTATGAGTAAAAAATATAATTGGTCCAACAGTTGCAAGTTTTACAGATTGGTTTTTAGTGACCAATATCAATTTAAAAAAATTTAGTCACTAGTGAAATCAAATAATTACAATTTAAATAAAGAAAACAATACTAAAGAATTAACTGTTTGTGTAAAATATGCTGATCCACCAAATGAATGATCGGTATATATTTCTGGATTTCCTAGCTTCAGAAATCTGGCAGTATTTGTAGATATTTTTCCGAATGTGACTATGACTTCAGGTTGAGATGCACATTTTCTTTGTCGGTAGCTTGCGTCAAACTCACCCACACAAGGCACAACCGACAATGAAATGGGCATGGACGGCCAACAGCTTTCAGCAAAAAACATGAATTGCCCACCGGCACGCCAGACGGACAGGGCAGGCATTAGAGTGCCACTAGATACGTATCGAATAAATTGATCGATGCGAAGCTTCAAATCAGAAGTAGCAGCAGCATTGAAAGATCACGGAGAACATGTAAATATCAGAAAATGTACCTTTCCTGTTTTGTCGAGCAAGTTTGTAAAGATACTCAATTTACTTCTGTACATTAAAACGGACTTATGACTCTCTTATGATCTTCAGTTACAAAACTGCATGGTTTAGCAACACCCTGAAGAAAAACGGAGGCGTCCTACCTAAAAGTGTTGGGCCGGAACCCAATTACCTCCAATTTATAGTACCTGTAGCCAATTGTGCATAACGCTCGGCCTATTATTCCTTAGCAATTGAACGCTATTTTTCAGGTCTACAATAATGACTCCATTGATACTATCGCCATTAACATAAGCGATTATTCATTCTCGAAATGTCAACCGGTCTGGAATTGTCGATGTTTATTGGTCAAGAGGCAATTTGTTAGATACGCAGTAAATTTTTTCGGTTTGTTACAGGTTGCAGCTTGCAGCGTAACGTTTCTGAAACGCATGAAAAATGTAATTGCAACAGATGTTAGTGGTATACAGGGTGCTGTTTAAGCACATGGCGTCATTTTGTGACGTTGTTATTGGACAATTTAAGCCCTACACAATTTCATCAATATACGTTTAAAATCTAGATTTTAAACAATATTCTTGACCAATGTAAGTTTTTAAATTAATTTTAATAATGTTATTGTTTTAATTGGATGTAAAAAATATTTTTAGATTTTAATAATTGCATAAGAAAATTTTTTTATCTACGTTTTGTGATGTTATCTGAAGATGGGATAAAACCCGAAACAATCGTAATAGACAATTGTTAAAATGATTAATAGTGAGGGTTGCTTTCGCTGTACAGCAAAAATAAAACGCTCTCTCAACGGTACAAATAAACTATTTTTATTGAAAACTAAGCTTGTGGAAAAAGACGTGTTGTCGGTTCGAATGTTTGGTGGAGAGTCCCCGTGTGTGGAGTCGGTCGTAGGTATATTGGTAGTCGCTGGCAGAAGTCCCTGGTCCTTGGCGCCACTCTGCCGGGGTCGTCTTCCGGGAACCCCGTGGTGCGTCCGGCGGCGTTCTTGACGTAATGCTTAAAAACGGGTCACTCGCGAACATGTGTACCCACAATAGTTTTATAAACAAATTATTTACTTTGAGCAATAACTTTCAATTATTAATAAATCTATGATTTTTTTCTAAATTTTTAACACTAGTAATCCCCAAAAGTCCTTACTAAATACTATAAATTTAGGATCGGAACGAATATCGTAGAACTTCAACTATTTCTATTCTTATGACGTTCTTTGCAAAAACGACTCTTTTAAGTAACATAATTTACAATTTACCAAGCCGTAATGATTTCTATTCGCAATTCCAAGAAGTTTAAGCTTGTTCCTCGGGGTTTTTAAACTTAATTGCCCATTTGAATACATTAAATTTGCAAAACGCTTCTTTCAACACACTCGTCAGGGCAGGACATAAATGTCAGACAGCGGCATGATACATTTATTGCAAACGTCTAATAAAGAAGTTCCGACCTTAAGATTGATGAATACATATTTTTGTATTGTTAAAATTATCCAGAGAAGGTTAAGTGATTCATAATAGAGAGAAGTTGAAAGAATATGGAAATAAATAACAAACACTAACTAAAAATGAGTTGGAGATTAACGCGAATGTTAAATAAAATGCTTACGCAAAAATATTCGATACAAAAAATGCCTTTCTGCCAGATTATTGTGACCAGGAACTGAAAAGGGGTTTCTTGTCTCATAGAAAGTGTAAAAAATATTCAACAACAGCAAAATAAGATACAAATGTCAAAGTTTTTCTAATGTAGCTCATGTAGAATTAGAACAAAAGCTATCTAATATGTTGTTTTAGGGTGCAATGTTCAAAACAGTATTTCTTACTTGAAATCTAACAATCTGTCCCACGGAGATGGATTGAGATCGACATAAAATTTGAAGTTTCCGTAACTGTATTTATAATTCTGTGCGTACCTATACACTTTGACCATTTTGGAGAACATCGGAATGCAGTGAGAAACAATGCAACAAAATGCCTAAACTTGAAAATTATTTGAATCACATACTCGGAATAACAAACAAGCAAATACCACGGCTTGATTTACATTTCAAAGAATATTGGTCTTGCGAGTAATATCGTTATCTGGTGTACTACCGCACGCAAAAGTTGCGTCGTTAAAGAACTAGGTCGACTCTAAATGATAAAAAAATATATTCTGTTTAACAATGACCCCTCAAACTTGGAGATCATTTTTAGTGATAAGTAGAATACGTCAAAAATAAGCATTTTTAATAATTAACTCCGTTGAAATTGCAAACGGTGCTTGAAATTAGAGCCAGTTGAGCGATGAATTCAGTCAGCGGTTCCAAAAATGTGTTTTCGTATCATTGTGGTAAGCCAACAGTTGTGAAATCATAAATTTGCAAAAAATATGCTATATACTTACACTATACAAAGACACTTTACAAACTAAAATAAAAATGTAACAGAATAAAGCGGTGACGACATATTCAGCCATTTCCGTTTCGCCGAATTAACGAGGCAGTTTGCTTTTTAACCACCCCGTCATATCATGTCAAGTGTGAAGTCAACTAAGCAGTAGCAGCTTTTTAGAGGCGGCAATACGGAATAGAAATGCAGGGAATCTCCGTTGCCTTTCGTAAGCTTTCGGAACGGGATCGAATTCTGCTTAAATTTAAACTGATCACGGTTTAATTTCGTTGCTGTTTGTTTGCTTTAGATTAATTTACTAATACATAGTTAAAACAATACTGTGGTAAATTCTTATTTTTCTCGCCGTTGCATCTTTACGGCAAATTAAATTACATGCGCCTTATTAAAACCGACACCGTTTCGGGTCGCAATGGTACACGTCCAAGCGTGGAATCAGGCGTTTTATTACATTTACGTATTTACGTCTTATTCAGTGAGTAAGTGTGCAGTTCTTAACATAATCGCGCATATCTCCATGACACCTAGCGTTCTCACTTTCGTATTATTTACTTTTCGGCCATAAATCTTCCGCTACAATTGCAAACATAGGCGCATTCCTGGATTAAGGATTATTAACACGAATTTGATTACATTTCAGATATGTGAAACACAAACACAAACAAAATGCACGAAAGCGAGATTTTTTTTTATACTACCTATGTATTAATAGTCCAGTTGCTAGAGGTTTTGCGATGGCAGTAATTTCGAAGTGCACATTTTTTTTCATGTGACTAGTACTTTGCTAGTAAATGAGGG